TTGAGTACCAAAAATGCTCTTGTGTACTATCCTCGTGTTGTTGATGTGTACTATGCTATAAATTATCGTCGGGTACAATTGTAATATGTAACGTTATATTACAATTTTTCTAGTTATATATAAATTTTATTCGTACATTCAATTTTAAAAATTTTTGCCCCCCGTACAACACATTCATGGCTCCGCCCCTGCCGATAAACATACACCCCAATAGAAAAAAGTACACATACTTTTGCGTTCAAGCAAATGAAAATTAGGCAACAACATGTAATCAGAAATTGGTTAACATTATATTATTTGAAAACCACCCTTCAAAAGAGAACATTTTATACTAAAGTCAACTAATGTAGACGCACATTTGTTCAAGAACAAAATTAAAACACACACACACAAACTCAAAGTGTGAAGTACATATATGGAATCAAATTGAAAAGAGAAAAATAATTGTCTTGTATAGGAACACAAAATCCTAATACAGATACAAAATGCACCAAAAAATGAATAGTATCGAGCCAAAATTTAAATCCTCATATTCATAAAAACCAATCATCAACATCTGTGTGAAAGGTAAACTTGTAAAGAAACATATACAAGCTCTTTTTTAACCCGGTGATTATCCGGGTTCACTCCCTTGCATCTCAGCCTCACTGCAGCCAAGAAAACATCAATTCAATTTCAAAAATCATTTTTAAAAAATCATAAAAAGTAATAGACAAACAGTCTTCCAGCAAAAGGCTGCACAAAATAAAATATAATTATAATTACTCACAATAAACAACAATAATAGATGTCTTAAACTAATTCTGTGTGTTTATTTCTCAGGCAAGCAATTTATAAACCGAAATTCAGTTCCAGTCTCGAAATTCACTTCAAAAAACTTAAAAAAAAAGATGGGTTTTTTAATAATGCTGCAGGTTTATTTTTCACACACACATGCAGACACACACCGATGAACAGAGTGATGGTGGCTTTGGCAAGCAAGAAGAGGGACTGAGCCCTTTCAAGAGGCTCTACTTTGGCAAGTGTGTCTGCATCACAATAAGACATGAATTGTTGCAAATGGGTTTTCATTTCTTCCATATTTTCCGATGTTCTCTTCACTGCTTCCATTACTAACTCCGGTATCATTTTCTTATTTCCGCCACCGCAATTGGTGGTGTCAGATCCCATCAATTTTATCAGTTTTTCAGAACTCAGTTTGCTCTGTGTGTGTGACTGTTTTACCAAGAACAATGCTACACTTACAGTCTCCCTTCACAGCCTCCTTCACAGTCCACTCACATGGAGGTTGGCCCCACACATGGTGGGCCCCCAAGTGTGAGAGGACTGTGAAACTCAATGTAAAGGGAGACTGTACATTTAGCAAAATTGTTTTACCAAATAGTTTCTGTCTGACAAATTTAAGTTACAGATGTCATGAATGTGTACGTATGTACACTGTACAGTTGGATTTGTAAAGTTTTGTTTATTCCAACGGCCATTGACAGTGGGATTCTGGCAATTCTTGAAAACTTTAGACATGTAAATTACATTATGTGCATCATGTTCAAATTATCTTAAGAACTTTAATATTTTATATGATAGGGAATAAAACGAATTAAGTTGATATATATAACAAAATAAGAAGTATATGATATGTTGGACTGTGATGTCATTATTGACATTTGCTCTCCAAATTGGGGTATGATGAAAACTGGGCTTGGCCCATTGCTGGATGTTATCAGCCATTGCTCGATAACACTTAGAAATCGGCCCACCACGTGTGCTGCTCTAGACCCTCGATTTCATGGCTGATCTATGGTGACTATGAAGTGTATATATACCAGCTGAATGGTTACTTGATCCCTAATTTTTCATTCGGTTCTTGTTGGAATATTCCAATATTAGATCCTTCTTCTAGA